GGATGTTTAAAGATTTACTCCAGAGTTTCTGTCAGTAGGTCTGTCTGTCTGTTCCTAAAAACTGTTCCCTGAGATCACTTTTAAAAAAACTTGGAACTTTTCCAACAAATATATTTAAAAAAGAGAAAAGTTGAAACATTAGTTATACAAATTCATCCCGAGAAAACTGGATTTTTTGATTATCTGTATAAACATTTAATTTCCTTACTGAGGCAGGAAAGCTTAAAACATTACTATGATATAAAGACAAACTAAGAGCTCAAAAGATTTAATTTTAAGTTCATTCATGTCTTCCACAATGGCATAATTGAATTGCCAATGGCCCTAAAGAATGATAATCAGGGGTTCTTACTGGTAGGTTTTTTTGGTATTGCTAATGCAATACATGTACTATGATAATCATTGTTTTTTTTTTAATTTGTTTTTGGAGGGAGTGGGGTTTGGGAGTGGAGGGGGGTGTTACTTTTTTACTTAATTTATGGTAGCAAAGAAAATAGAAACACTTAATTTGTGTGTTTACACTACATCTAGTTATTAACGTGAGTTATTATATTAATAGTCATTTAACATTAATTTGGTTTATCATTAATTTAGTTTAATGAATTAAAGGGAAAAAAAATACTTACAATTTACCATAATCTCATTTTCTTTATTCACTGTTTATCATTCTGCGATTTGAACAAGTATGATAGCATTGTTGTGAACAAGTGAACAATGAATGATTTCTTTATACCATTTTCTGTTTTATTTCCAGTCCATTGCTTTTTTTTTTATAAGAAGTAAATTAATACTCGGGTTGAATTTATTTTTTGAAGTTTTCATAAGCTCTATTTAAGTATTACAATTAAATCTGACGTGTATTATGAAAGAATTTTAATTTGGTTCAGATTTGAAATAATAGGTATTTCCTTAAGAAAAGCAAAACCAAAAAACCCCCCTGAAAAACCTTAATTAATTAGCTTGACTGTATACGAAGTATATGGAGAGCTGTCCACAAGAGCGGCGAAAAGAGGGGAAATAATGAAATCACTAAATGGGGCCCATAGGGGAATTTAAGGGCCTCTTTTTGGTAATTTATGTGGATTGTAAGTGTGGTTTGTAATGTGAAAATTACTTTCTTTGTTCACTTCACAATATTTTACTTTTATTTAAAATACATTTTCAAAATTTTCATGAATATTAGCAAGAATCTGGAGGTATGCTGCTTAAATGTCATTTTTCTCTTTCTGTTTTATTGTTAACTTTTTGAACCTACATCACTTTATAGTTGATCACAAAATTATCAAAAGTATTCAAAATAATGAAAAATAAATTTAAAAGCTTAACAAATACGACAAAATAACAAAATACTGTTAAAGGCAGAGATCTCTGTACTGATAAGGGAAAATTCATTTAAAATCATTAAGTTTAAAACCAAGAATTCAGGTAACAATAATTTTTGTTCTTTAACTTTTGCAAAAATAATTTTTAATTTTTTCCCCAAAGATTCAAGAACCTGTGAAAAAAATCCTTAGTATGCAAAATCATTGGCTGAATGTTTCAGTTTAACTGGTCATGTATTTAGGGAGTGTAATAAGTATGAAGTGAAAGTTCCATAACAATCTTAGTGTTTAACACCATTGCATGTCTGATGTTGTCTTGGAAATTTAAAAACGTGTGTTATAAAATGTGCCCTGTGTTACCTTGCTGTGAGTTAAAGTTAATACTCTTGCATGCCCTAAAATCTTAAATTGTCTTGAAAAATTGTTGAAACATGAATTTTTAGCTCGACTATACAAAGTATATGGAGAGCTGTCCTACTTGCCCTGGCGTCGTTGTCCGCGATTTCTGATTAAAGTTTTAAATGCAGTAAAATATTTTTCACTATAACTTTTTTATTTAAAGGTATCAAATTCAAACTTCAAAAATATGTTCCTTATTATCAACCATATCTTATGTGACAAGGTTCATAACTCTAGCACCAATATTTTCAGATTGATCTCCCCTTGAACTTAGAATTTTCCTTTAACCTTTTCCCTCATAAAGACCTGTTTTGACGGCTTTTTGCCCCGCCCCCCTTTTTGAGGCCTCAAACAGTGAAAAAGTGCCCTATTAAGACCCCAAACACTGTTTTTCGTTTGAGAAATGCTGTTAAAAAAAGTGATCACTCTTTCGGCACTGCCCCCCATCCAAATGTTACATCAGAGGATTGCCAGAAAGGTGATTTTCCCCCCTCTGTTTGGGGGTTTTGAAGGGGGCGGTAGTTCCGTTCATTGCCAAGAAAATTTTGGACATGTGACAGGCTAAAAATGGCCTCAGGTCAATCTAAGGGTAACTTTTAACCAAGGCTGAAAAGCCTTTTACTCTTTCTCAATTCATTGAGAAGTTGCAGCACTTTGAAATCAGTTTTGATGGAAAAAAAACAATGATATAAAATGGTGATTTTTGGCAATTTTGAGACGTCCCCCCGTTGCCATGGTAACAGGAAATTTACGATTGAGCATGCTGTTACAGAGGCTATTGTCTGGTCAACATTTGTGCCAAGTTTCATCAGTATAACTATTGAAGCATTTTTCGTAGTTTCATTGCAATTTGAACTTGTTACAGAAAATGGCCATTTTTCGCAATATGCTCATCATGGGTAAAAGGTTAAAAAATATTATTTGTTACTGCCACTTATTTATTTCTTAAGGGAACAACTTCATACTTCAAATATATGTACCTTATCATTAACCACATTTTATGTGACAAGTTTCATAACTCTAGCACAAATATTGCAAGAATTATCTCCCCATACACTTTTTTACTTTAAAAAATGTTATGTTTTACTATAACTTTTAAAGGTATCTACCTCAAACTTCAAATACTTATTCCTTATCATCTATTACATCTTATGTGACAAGGTTCATAACTCTTGAAGCAACTCTTACAGATTTATCTCTCTTTGAACTTTTTCTTGAAGAAATATTATAACTTCTTTACTTTTTAAGGTATCTACTGCAAACTTCAAATATATGTTTCTTATCATTACACACATGTTGTGTGACAAGGTTCCTAACTCTAGCGTGACTATTTCCAGAAGTATTCCCCTTGAACTTGGAATTCATGTTAACAAATGTTATTTTTTTACTATAACTTAATACGTAATTATACATAATTGATTTTTCTTTCATTGTTTTGTCTTCCTTTCTGCATCCAGTATTTTATTAGTCGAGCATTGCTGTCTCCTGTGAGGGCTCTTGTTACTTGTGTACTTTAAAATACATCAGAAACCTCCATTTTATATGTAGATTTTTTTTTCAAAGATCGACTATAAGCTTACATGTTCATAAATCTGAAATTTTATGACAAATATGAAGAAACTTCTATCTTAAAAATTTGCAGCAGAAACCATCTGAGTTAACTTGTAGTATAAAAATAATTTACTGGGGGACACCCCCAGACCCCACGTAAAAAAGGGGAGTTTGCTTCAAAATAAAGCCCCCCTAGTCAAAATTTCTGGATCCGGCCCTGAATTGAAATTATGGATATTTCTTTTTGAAAAGCAGTTAAACAAACAAAATGTGGAATTTTCCATGAATGTATTCTATATTATCTTAAGATTGTCAATATCAGTCACTTTATACATTTATTCATGGTTGAATAATAAGTATTGACCTTGCTGTTAAAAGCATGAAACAGAATCATAAATTATTTGCCTGTCAATAGAAATAATATCTTTGTAATTGATCATGCATTTCTATTGCGTTTTTATCAATATTTGATCTTCTTTACAAAATATGCCTGTAGACCAATCCACTTTATGGTCCATTATCTGTATACTCCAGAAATGCTTTTATTTACGAATGCTCTCAGTATTTTGATCTTATTAACTACTTAAATATTAAAAAAATGCACAGAAAAAAAATGCAAATGATTTAAATTTTTTTGTAAATTTAAAACCCTTTAAATTTTTATCGGCTTTTGGCAAAAGTAAAATTTTAGGTTTTGAATAATTTTTTTTAAAATGCTTTTAAAGGGCCTCTTTTTTTGTCCCTTTTCTCTTACATCCCGGGGCTGTGGCCCCCCGGGCCCCCCCCACCAGGCTTTACCCTGGATCCAGCTCATTTTTCAGGATTTTCAAAATGTCACACTTTCACCCATGTGCAATGGAAGTCAAAATATTACTTTTGTTCACATTTTGCTACATTAATGGCTAATAATGACACATTAAGCACTTCTTTCTTAAAGGCACCAAGCATGACTAACAGCAAAGGATCTAACATGCTGTATTAAGCCCTTTCCAAAGAAGTCAAATTGAACTCATTTCTAAGGAACAATGTGCCTTTAAATCACATTCATGGCAATTGAAATAAGTTGTATAGAAAATATTTTTTTTATTTTGTCAATTCAAAAATTGTTGCTGTAGATTTTAGCTCAGGATCCATTTTCATATTGTTGCAAAACAATAACTGTGGCCTAATAACATGTTGAAAAGCTCAGACCCACAATCAGTGCTTTTGTCAAATTCCCTTCACTTGTCAGGATTTGCTCAGGAGTAGGAAAGGGGAAGTCAGTAAACAATACCCTTCAAAAACAAAGTTTTGTGCAAAAATTTTGAAATGTTGAAAATATGTTATATGTAATGTGCATGCTACTTAACCAAGTTATTTACTCAGAGTGTTATTAACAGGGTTTTATTTATTTCAAATTGGCATTTGAATCCTTAAGAATTATTTAAACTGATTAATTCACATAATATTTTATTCAGACTTGTATAAATTTACAAGATATTTGATTCAGACTGGCAGTTTCTTGACATATGACCCCCCCCCCAACATAATATGAAGGGGGCTATTCTGAAATTGCTTGTTGTCATCATTGGTCAATCTTTTTGGTTTTGGTATGCCACAAAATTGTTAATTTTTTTCAACGGGGCTGAGGGGTATCACAACAAGGTGATGGGCCTTATCCCGTGTTCCCTCCTAAAATGAAAAGGCCCATTTTAAAGCAATTAAATACATTTTTTGTTTTATTTTTTAATGGGCTGTAACCCACGGAATATTGCAAGATTTGCAAGGAGGAGAGATGTTGTTGACCTTATTGACAAGGTATATCTTTATGTTCTTTAATAATATAAAACATTTGTATGACTCCACCTTAATGCAATCTGGTGACAAGCAGGTAGATCTAGCTAGATTATGGAATTTATCCTGTCACTTGTATCAATTTCGGCCCGATAACAAGGTGCCATATAGTTTTACTGATCTACGGCACTTGATCACGTGGTATGCATGTTTGCCGGACTACTTTTCAAGAAAAAATATAAAAACTGTCGTTAAATCTTCTGTGTGTAGAATAACGAATTTTGGAAACGTTGATAAAACTTTGTTTGTTATTTTATTTCACTCTATAATTTTTCAAGCGAAATAAAAATTATTAAAAGTGAAATAAATGTAAAACTTAACTCGTTTGCGACATTAAAATAGCGTACTTGATTTGATTGTTTTGCACGTGCTGTTTGGCGCTACATTGTGACGTAACGTAAATAATACTTTAAACGTCTGTACAGCGTTAACGACTGAATAAAAGATATTGGTGTTCGAATTCATTTCTTAGTTAGACCATTTTCTTTCATTCTAGATAGTTTTCACAACAAAATTCGACAAAAAATTGTTTTTATTTATCAAATTTTTCAAACAAAATGGCGCCCTCAATGTGAAAATACACAGGGAGATAATAAGAACGGCGAGTGCATTGTTGTAGAATAATGAACGCTTCGGCCCTTCTTTGTTTATATAGAAACATTTCCAATAGTGTGATTAAAGGTAGTTTGCCTATTTAAAGTCTTTAAAAAAAACGGTGACAGGATAAATAGAATAATAGATTGGTGCCGTAGATGGAGAAAATTTATCTGGCTCTGCTACGGAATTTATTGGGTTCGCCTTCGGCTCACCCAATAAATTCCTCCGCCTCGCCAGATAAACTTTCTCCATCCACGGCACCAACCTATTATTCTCTATGTCTGTGGTTTTTCTTGGGTACCCATCAATGCCAAATTAATGCACGAAAATGCACCTGATAAATCTCTCCACCAGTAATACTTGTTATATATATGACCTCTATTGTGTTTGCGTGATATAAAACTCATCCAAAAATGATAGTGATAATAATTTCTGATGTAAAAGGGAGGTAACCATTATTGATACTTACTTTCAAATATGCATGTGAGAATACTCTCCCTCTTACAGTAAAGAAACCCAACCTCTCCAAGAAAACCCAAACTTTTAATAAATTTTGTACCCTTTGATACAGTTACTTATTAACACTAAGATATAATATATTAAGCACTAATATACTATGCTTGTAGCAAAGCCTAAGATGCATTTTCTTTATAAACCCTCTAGTCTGATATGTTATTAAACTTTTTTTACTTGATTTTTAAAAAAAGCTACAAATATTTTGATGGAAATGCAATGTTGTTTCCAACAATGTCATTCCATAGTTTCCAATGTCCATATATATGTTTTTCAGCACTATATCAAGATATTGCGGAGCTCGGATATGGAATGTCTAATTGAGATGGCAGTTTGTGGTTATGACAGTTTGATGATCACACACAATGTAAGCAGATTTCAGTAATGTAGGATAGGGATTGGGATTGTTTGCTTGTCAGTGACTGTCTGTGCTAGTATTCTATTAATAGAACATATCTGTTGATTATAAATGGTGTATTAAGGAGCATTGTAATTGGTTATATAAAATTGGCTAACATTTAGTTATAAAAATATTTTTGATGAGATTATATATGTTTATATAATGAAAGGTTATAAAGCAATATTTGACTTTATGTTTTTTCTAAATATTTAATAATTTATGTGTTTGCATATTTTTGAAACTCATGCTAAAGTACAATGTACTTAAGGATTTTGGACCTCACTGGATTCTTCATACCTGTTTATGATTGAATCTCTATTTAGTACAGGGATACATTTATATATGCATCAGGCAATGAATCAGATGAAGTTCTGAAGTTTACACAGTGGCTGCCAACCTTCCAGGTTTGTTTCCTACTTGTTTTTCTGTATACTTAATTTTAAAACTTTCTTTTCTATTATTTTATTAGTAAAACTATTTTCACATTTTTCAGTTTTGCAACACTTAATTTTGCATGGAAATTTGGAATTCTTTATTATCATTTTGAACAGTTTCAGTATCAATTACTGGGTATCTTGAATTTTTAGTTGGTTAGCCTACTCAGTCTGCATGGATATATAAAGCCTGGTTTGACTGTGTTCTAGTGGTTAAAGGCACGGCAATATTGTATATTAAGATAAACAGTTACAGAGCTGTTTCCTTGCCAGATCAAAAGTGATTAGCCTTTGCTACCATAACAGAGCCAGGTCAGCCTTCACATCCATGCAGTCTTTAACAAGCCTCTTTACTGGTCCTTGACTCACTTCAAATTTTCATCTTAATAAATATACCCTAAATTGATAATGTACAGTCCCAAAATAGGAAGCTTTAGAAACAAATCCTTTTTAGGAATTTAGCAGAGATTCCACTACATGCAGTATTTAAGAAACAAGCAGACTGACTGATTGTACCTGATTATACCTGATCTTGATCCTAATCCTTTATTCTTTGTAAAATGATTTAATCATAAGTTTCATGTTTTGTTACTTATCATCAGTTATTATGTGCTATATCCCATGCACAAATACAACCTGACAGAAAGGAAATCCGTATTTGTAGATGATTAGTACAGTCTGAAAGGAAGTTGCTGTTTATACTGAACATATACTTGGAATTTATGGAGGAAATATCATAAAAGGAGTGCCCCTTGTGGCTGAGGGGTTGCCTTTAATGGTTGAGGCGTAAGAATTGCAGCAACCATTTGTTCCTGTATGATGGCAAGAGGCATCTAAATGAGTTCAAATAAGTAGAGTCTATGGATCTCTTAGCTCCAGCAGATGAGGTGGTTTTCACCTATGGTGTTGCTTTGAAGTTTGTAACACCCGAGATAAGCCAAAATCATCTTTTTCTGTTTCAATGCCATATGACCTATACTGTGTTGGTGCACCCTAAAACCAGCAGAACAAAGCATAAAAAGATTATTATAGGAGTATCTTGATTTGTGTCTTATATCTGGCTCTTGTGGATTTTACAAGAACAGATCTCACTTGACGCTTTTTATTGTCTCATGAGAACTAAGCGTTGTAAAATCCACTTCAGTCTTATTCAAAATCCATATCAAAATAGTCCTCAAATAACAGTATTTTGATTTTGTGAATGTTTTACAGGAAGAGGTGAAGGAGATACAGGATGTTATAAAAGATGGTGCTTTGAGAGAGATGAGAAGAGTCTTTGAGTATTCTCACACACCAGAACTTATCATTAGAACCAGGGATAAGGTCAGTGTGTTCTTGGTCTAACTTCAAAATTTAATATGTGAATCATAAGAACCTGGGTAAGGTCAGTGTATTCCATGTCTAAGGTCATTTTTTTAAATCATGATTTAATATGTGAACCATAAGAACTTTGGGCAAGGTCAGTGTATCCAAGGTCAAAGGTCATTGTGTTACTTCAAAATTTTATATATGACCCATATAAGAACCTTGGTAAGGTCAGTGCATTCAAGGTCAAAAGTGCACATCAGAGTTAAATGAACAAATGTTTCCTGAATCATGTTCAGAGTATTCTTGATCAAAGATCATTGTCATATATCAAAATTTAAATGAACCATGGGTACCAGGAGCAAGGTCAGTGTATTCAAGGTCAAAGGTCATCATCGCCTTGCATAAAAGTTTACATGAGTCATAGAAACCTTGGACAAGGTCTGAGGTCAGATATAATGTTACATTTGCTTAATTACTTGTATATTAAATGTAAAATGGAATATGCCTTACTTGATTGGAAATTTTGGCAGTTAAAAAATCCATCTCAAGCAGAATGTACATGATTACTAGAAATACATAGGTTAAACATTTGCACACTTTATATTAAAATTTAACAAAATTTGAAGAAAAGAAGTAATAAACTATATTTTAAAATGAATTTGCAACCTCATAAATTGACTGTGTCATAAAGGAAGACACATGAGTTTTCATTGCAAAAACTATTTAAAAAAGGGAATTGAAATCATAGGAAAAATATAAAATGAATGAAATATTAGTTTATTTGACTTACATGATCAAATCATAATTTTTCATGAACATCAACAGTTACTTTGTGACTTTGCCACTTACAAAACTATATCTTCAAGTGTTAATTCAGTGAAATTTGTTTGAATCTTACATTGAGACTCTTTTATATATTATACAGTAGATCTTTGTCATCACTTGTGGATTGATATTTTCAGGCCATGAGGACACCCCTCATGTTAGCAGTATTGTATCAAAGAGATGATGTAGTGCAGTTCTTTCTGAGCTCACCATATGATGTTGAAATAGATGGCCAAGATTGTGTAAGTTGTATACTTACTCGGCCATAAGACAAGGATGCATATTTACTCGGCCACAAGACGGCTCACTTATAAGACGGGATGTTTATTTCATTAAAATCAGCCCTATTTTGCTTGGATTTTTTTGTGGGCTATTTTTATGTAGATGGTTATAAGAGGCAGTTCTATGTGTAATGAAAAGATAAGCATTTTATAAGCAACTTTTATTGCAACAAGACAATTACATTTCTTTTATTTTCATCATGTCTGTTTCAATGATCACTGTGACATCATGGTCATGCGAATACTTTGATTATTCAAATACAACACTTTAAAAGTTATCATCATTATAAACTTTGAAAACTTGTTTATTCTGACAAAGGAAATAATTCTAAAACCAATATTTTTGGAGTTTTGCCTCTTTATCACAGATGATAGGTAACATCAAAGGGGATGCTCTTGTTTACATCTGAATCCTTTTTTATTGTGTAGGAAGACATAATGCTTTTTGAATATATATAAGATGTGAATTTTTTCATAATGTTACAAGACATACTTTGTTTCAATACATGTTAAACATAATGACATGACATGTCAACTGAATGTGTCCAACATTTAAATGTAATTTTAGTATTACAGAGTATCACGCAAATTCAATTAATATTTAACACACAAATCTGTTTTTAGTGTAACAGGACAGCCTACCATTTTGCTTGTTGTTCAACATCTGAAGTAGGTAGAAAGATACAAGAATACTTGATAGATGCTGGAGTTGACACAACTCTTCAAGATGTGGTATGTTATGTGACCTACTTGATTATGTCCCTTGATTTAAGTATTTGAATGTTAGAGGTGATAATGCTTTACCTATGCCAACAGGATAAACTTATGCCAACATGATAAACCTATGCCAACAGGATAGAGTCAGGTCAATCTGCACCTCCACACAAACTGACCAGACACTATTCTGTTGGGCTGCTTAATTTGAATACTTTGATATATAAAATTGATAACATGCCTATGCAGCTTTTGCGACTAGACACTGTGGTGCATATAATTTGACATTAAGTCATTTGCATTGTACAAACATACTGTAAAATCATGCTAAATGTCAGGGTTTCAATACAGTGGCGTGTCTATGAAAAATGATTATTTTCTGTAAAAAGTTTTTTTCTAAGGTTTGTGATAAATAACTTCTGAAAAGCTTGTACTGATTAAATTACCAAAATTCAAGATGGCTGCCAAGATGGCTGCCACTTGTGAATAACAAGCACTGTAATTGCTATAATTTAGTATACACGCAAAATTAGATAGGCTTATAAAACTGAACAAAATTGTGATAGCTGTGAAAATGATATTCTTACAGAGAGGAGAGACAGGTGAAGAGTTTGGAACCAAACGTGGCCCGGAATTTTTAGAGAAAGAAAGGAAAGCTTGTTACGGCATGGTCCAAGAACTGGCATGCGCTGATAAAGTATGTTTTTGTAAAAGATTTATATCCCTTGTTACTCAGAGCACTTTTTATGTTGATTTTTAAGAGATTTAGAAGAAACAGGAAGTATTTATGCTTAAAGAAAATCCCTATTGTCAAGTTGAAACTGTTTACTGGATATAAAACAGAATGAGATCATGTTGTGCAAATCATTTTCAGGAGTTCATTAATTTGACACATTTTATTTAGGACCTTTAATATTAAAACAAAGA